GAGACATTCTGAAAAAGGCAAAACTATGTAACCAGTAAAAATATCAGTGGTTTCCATGAGTTAGTGGTAGCCAGGGGAGGGAGGAGGGATGAATAGGTGAAGCACACAGGAGTTCCTAACAGTATAATGATGGCTACATGTCATTATACATATGTCCAAATTCATAGAGTGGATAATACCAAGACTGCACCCTAATGTGACCCCAATGTAAACAATGGACTTTGTTTGATTATGGTGTGTCAACGTAACTTCCTTAATGATAACAAATGATAGAGGGTGTTGTTAATGGGGGAGACCATGCATGTTGGGGGACAGAGAGTATATGGGAAATCTCTATACATTCCTTTTAAATTTCTGTGTGAACTTAAAACTGCTCTGAAAATTAAGTTTTAAATAATCAAATTTAATATTGCTAAAGAAAAGATTAGTGAGTTTGAAGATAAAACCATAGCAATTAATGAACCCTGAACACAGAGAAGAAAAAATAAACTTTAAAAAGAAGATAAACAGATGCTTTGTTATCTGTGGGGCAATACTGAGTGATATGATATACATATACATATACATGTAAAAATGCATACAGTCTGAAAACTTATATTTCCAGAGAGCTCAGGAAAAGTATTTGAATAACAAATGGCTGAAATATTTCTAAATTTAATTTTTAAGAAAAGATACTATAAACCCAGTGACTGAAGAGCTCCACAAGCACCAAGTAATAAGAGTGCAAAGAAAATGAGAACAGGTGTTATCACAGTCAATATTTGGGTAGACTGAAACATTTTTCATTCTTTTCATTGTTTTAAATAATAATTTACCTTAAAGTAAAAAAAAATAAACATGATCTATGGATTTATGACATATATAAAAGTAAAATTTATAATAATAGCAAAAGATGGGAGGAAGTATATTACTATAAGAAGTATATATGTATATATGAGTAAAATGATATAATATTACTCTGGCACAGTATGGCAAATTGAGATACATACTGTAATCCTTAGAACAGCTATTAAAAGTCTATGAAGAAATAAAATGGAACACTAAAAAAAGTACAAAAGAAGGCAAAAAAATAAGGTAAGAACAGGAAATAACATCTGTAGCAAGCAGAGAACAAATAATAAGACAGACTCTCATACAACCATGACAGTAATTACACTAATTGAAATGGTCTCAGCACTGCAATTAAAAATAAGACCCTACATCTATGCTCTAAAAGAAACCTACAACAAGTATACAAATGCAGATGAGTTAAAAGTAAAAGAATAAATAAATATACATTATGCACATAAGTTACTAATATATAATAAACATTAGTTTAGGAAAGTTGGAGTGACTATATTAATATCAGACAAAGTAAGCCTCAAAACAAAAAATAATACAAAAACTGAATTCTTCAATGAAACATAAAATCTCTAAGGAGCCTGACAATAACATTAAGAATGGAATGAAAGAAAAGATGTGTGCTGCTGTAAGTGGATTTTATGTGAAGTGGTATATTATTTGAAAAACAAAAAGTGATAAATTAAGATGCATACTGTAATACTTGTAGTAACCAATACATAACATTATATCTAATAAGACAATAGAGAAGGTAAAATTCAATTTTTAAAAAACAGTAAAATAAGCCAATAAAAATCTAGGGGAAAAGGGCAAATTAGGAAATAGAAAACAAATAACGAGATAGTGTAGAGTGAAATAAAACTGTGTCAAAAGTACAATGAATTTGAGAGTCAAAATATATTCATTATAATTAAAAATAATTATGTTTTGTGACTTATCCACAATATACCCACATTAAATGTAAAAACACAGGAAGACTAAATAATAATAAACCTGGAGTGGATATATCATTACCAATCAAATAAACCTCAGAATAAAGCATATTACTAAAGCTGAAGAGCAATATGTCATAATGATAGAAAAATCAATTCCTCAATAACAATTCTAAATTAGTTTGCACTTAATGACAGGATTTCAAAATGAGGTGAAGCATAAAGAATGCCGAAAATAAAAATGGAAAAAATTCATAATTTTAACTAGAGATTTCAAAACAATTATCTTGGCAACTGACATAGAACTAAGTAGACAAAAAAAAAAAAAAAGAACCAAGTAGACAGAAAATCACTATATTTCTGGGAATGGGAACAAATCAACCCAACTGATCTAATTGGCACAGACAGGGTATTATACTCAATAGTGGTAGAAAGTACATAGTTTTCATGTGTACATGGTATCCTCCAAGATCTGTCATAAGATGGGCTATAAAATAAGTTCTAATAAATTAAATTCAATAAATTGAAAGGAATAAATTATATTGACATTAAATGAAACATCAGGAACACAGAAATATCCAGAAAATCTCCAAAACAACACAATCTAAATCTCATGGATCAAATATGAAACACAATTTAAGTTAAAGTAAAATCTGAAAAGATTAAAATGACAGTTGAAATGATACAAATTGTGGGATTAATATGTCAGCAGAGACTGCAGAATAATTTATGGCTTTAAATGCACATATTAAAAGAGAAGAAAGCTTTAAAATCAAGCTTTAACCCTAAGAGTTAGAAAAAGAAGAATAAACTCTATCCAACCATGTAGAAGAAGGAAATAATGCGGAAAAAAGCAGAAATCAACAAAATGAAAAACAAAGAATAAGAGCAGTGAAACCAACATGTACTTTTTTACCATCAATAATTAGTTTTGCCTGTTCTCTAACTTCCTATAACTTGATATAAATTAAAATATATGGTCTGTATATTTGGTACCATCATCTTAGATACAAAATATTTTGTTTGCAGATTTAAGCTCCCTATGTCCCAAGCCGTCAGTAAATAACGTTGACACTATTGGCACAATAGGTTAATAATTAAGAAATATTATGCAAAACTATAATGGCTTCCATCATACTCTATGTCACCAACTTGTATCAGGAATCAGATATGTGGGCAGGAATAAATACATAGGGTGATCAGTTTTGCACAATTTAACAAAATTTTCTTCAAATTTACCTTTCTGAGATTTGGTTTCCTTTGGTACTACTAAAATAGAAATTAAAATGACTAACCTATAAATCTGTGGATCCATTAGATGGGATAATTTATGCAAATATCAAGCAGAGATCCAACATATATTTTATGTTGGAGAAATCATTTCCCTATTCTCTTCATATTTCCTCAAAGGAATGATCACCAACTTTAACCAGTCACTGGGTTGGGAAAGTCAAGTTAGCACTTCATAATGGGCTGACTTTTTCACTTTGTGGAGGAAGGAGTACACACCGACACAAAACCAAGAAGTTCTTGCCTCTGTTTGCTTTTAGAAAGCTTGCAGCTAGGGACCAGGGAAGAGAATTACCAGTCCGTCATGTTGATCTCCTTTATCATGATAAGCCTACTACATTCAAGAGTAGTAAATGAAAGCATAGTAACTATTGTTTCTTTGTGTTTTACTGCCATTTCTTTATATTATTAGTGGCTAACTATGACTATTAATAAAGGAAATAAAAGTAAGAATTCATCACCAGGAGCTTCACTGAAAGTCAATTAAGCTACCAAGATTGAGAATGTATTATTCAGCATACATTTGGGCCACACATGTGATTCTACGCTATGTGTTACCTTCTGGTAACAGGGAGTCTGCCAGGAGATGTCCAGAATATGGCACTCAAAAGACTCACTGAGCTATACCTCAACATGAGGTGAGCATTGCTATGGGTATATCAGATTATTAGGCATATCAAGCAGCTACATATAGAGATTCTTACCTGTGAGTGAAAGGGAGAAGTAGGAATATATAATGCAGGGGTGGGATCATATCTGTATAGAGACACATGTTTAAGTGTAGACGCTCAATACAGAAAATGCAGTAGAAAATACAATATTTGATAGGCAATAGTGCTACTGTTTTTACCCAGTGACCTGGATCAAACACACATACACACACAAGAAGACACAAATGACGAAAAAGGAATGAATACTTAGGATAAGCACTACATATCTTGAAAGTTATTAGCTTTATTGAAAAGCAAAACTAGAAATTTTTCCACATGAAAACTGTTAATATTGTATGTAATCAAACATAGGAGAGTAACAAAATTTCTTGATTGATAGGACATTCCACCAATCAGTGCAGTTATGATCCATAGTAATTAAAGGTGAGATTTGGTCCAGTTTGGACAGACAATAGCAATATTTCTGTAACATTTCCAGAGTGAAAAGTCCATTTCATTTATGGGAAAAATTACACTTATATAGTCAAAATCTGTCCATTAATAATGTTTCTACGGAGAAGGACACTAAATAACACTTTGTCACAATACTGTGTTTATGCATTTTTCTTATAAAAATATACTCACAAAGACACACAGAAAGGAAACATTTTGAATGAATAAAATATTATTTCATTTATAGACTTGATTGTATTAAAGTCCTATTTCCTTATTTGAATTTCTTATCAAGGCAGATGAAATCACTAACATAAAGATTTTGTGCCCTCACCTCTCTGATAATTAGGAAAGAGCTGATTGAGATACAGAGGGTCTCCCAAATTACCTTTATACTGTACTTTAATCTTTATTCTATACTTTAATCTCATCACTGTTAAATAAGCCACACAACACTACTTGACTCTGGCCTGGAACCAGAATTAAAACTATATTATGGAGGGCAATATAATTTGGGGAGGTCAAAGAGATAAAAGGAATTATGGTCAAGAGCAAGTCAATTGAAAGTCCCGAAAACGTGCCCTGAGTTATAGGATATCTGGTTGTAGAATATTAAAGTGAAGATGTGTTATGAAAGATAGCCTTGTAAGTGTGACTCTACCATCTTATTAAAGGTCCTCAATTGGTTAAAGCAAGCCTCCTTAATGCCTTCGGGCATTAGGCTCTGGTCTTGAAACAACAAGCTAATTAGATGAGTCATAAAATTAGCTAAGGACATGAGCACATGTGGTGAGGCCCCCTCATCCTGAGGCATATAAAAGGCCCTCTGCAAGCAGAAATCCACACTGAAGTAACACTTCACCTCTTCTTCTCTACCTGTGCACAACGTCAACAACCAACACCATGTGTAGCAGCTACTACGGGAACTACTATGGAGGCTGTGGCTATGGAGGCTGTGGCTATGGAGGCCTGGGCTGTGGCTGTGGCTATGGCTCCAGCTATGGCTGTGGCTTCCGCAGACTGGGCTGTGGCTCTGGCTGTGGTTCTGGCTGTGGCTATGGGTACGGCTCCCGCTCTCTCTGTGGCTGTGGCTATGGATATGGCTCTGGCTATGGCTCTGGCTTTGGCTGGTACTAACTGAGGTCACGTTGGGAGACTCTCACCCTCCACATCTGGGCATGGGACTCGTCAGTTCTGAGACCCACACGTTCTGAGCCTTTGCCTTGGGTGATGATATCCTGTGTGATGAAAGTCTAGTCTGGTCTGTTGTCACCTACAACCTAACCTACAGAGTCCCTGAATTTGCTGCAGGAAATGGGAGATGGTGATCTTCACCTGTGATCCCCACAGTTTTGCTTTCATCAGGATGATGGTGTCAGAGCAACTCCTTGGATGATGTTTATGCTGGACCTTATTTCTGGGTTGACCTAATAAACTTGTTCAATCCAAACAGAAACCCTGGTTTTTATGTCTGTCATTTGATGTTCCAAGTGTCTTACTGGCATTTTGTGGTTTCAGTATACAAAAAAGTTGACAGTTATCTCCCTAGGGAACTATTTTCCTGATATTTTTCGGTCAGGTTCTTGACCAATTTTTCAATTGTCCTAGGAAAGTAATTTATTTTTGGTAAACTTCAGCTTCCTCCTCTGGTACTGAGAGAATAAAATTTGTTAGATTGGGTACCTCTTAACACCAAATGCAATATTATTTTATGAATTATGAATTAAGCTTTGTGCAGTGTATGGTAAATAATTAAGAAAAATAATAACTTCCCCAATTTTATATTCATGTATCTCTTAAAACAAATGGATCCTATAATAGTCTTTTCTACCTCTAATCTTTTTTAAAAAAATATTTTAATAAAAGACACAACCTAAGGAATATTCTTATAATCTATTACTTCCTAAGGTAGTAATTTGGAATGCATGGTGGGCCATAATAACTAGATAAAAAACAGTAGATTACACAAAGTTTCAGGGTCTCACAATGTAGTAATCAAGTTGTTTGCCAGAAGTTTGGTCTCATCAGTCTCAACCGAGAAAGGATCTGCCTTCAAGCTCAACATACTTGGCAAAATTCAGTTCCTTGCATATAACTAAGAAGCTCAACATTGGCTAGAGGCCTTTGCAGGATGTCTGCTAGAGGTACCTTCAGCTCCAAGAGGCTGCCCATAGCTCCTTGCCAGGTGGATTCCCATATATGGCTGCTTACTTTCTCAAAGCCAGGAAATAAGGGGAGTGGCTCCAACAAGGGTGCTACCATCCCATACAGTTTTACACAACATAATCACATAGACACAATGATACATATTTTACTATATTTCCTGTATTTTATTTATTAAAGGTGAGCCACAGTTTTGCTCCCTCTCAAGGGGAAAGGATCATACAAGGTACTGACATCAAGAGGCAGAAATCATATTTGTCCACCACTGATATCAATGCTCTATGTCCTTCCTAATAGGAAGATGGACATTTTCCTTCATCTACTATTCTCTGGAACAATTTATAGCAGGTTCAGAATATTTTGATTTGGCAAAATTTCCCTGAGAAACATATAAAGAGTTGGAATTTTTGTGGGTCATTTCCTTAATTTTCTACTAAATTAATCTCTATTATTTCTAGATATAATGGCACCAGTTTTGGTAATCACTATTCCCCTACGAATATGTTTTCAAATCTATAGCCATAAAAATCAGCAAAGTAAATTTATATGATTTTAAGACTTAACTCCATTGTTTCTTGCTTGCTTTTTATTTTGAATATGCCTTTTCCTTTAACTCCTTGACCAAATTAGCAAGTGATTTATAAATATTAGTCTCTTTAAATAATAGCATTTTGAGTCATTTTTAAAGTTTTTTTGTCTTTTCTCTACTTCATTAATATCTGCTTATCTGTTTATTATCATTTATTTAAAGTATTTCTTTGCACTTTCTTTGGTTTACTTAGTTCATCTTTATGAAGATCTTTTTTTTTCTTAACTGGGATGTTAAATTATTTATGTTATTTCTTTCATTTCACTGACAAAAGTGTTTAGTACTATGATTTTTTTCTCTACTGCTTGAAATTTTTTCATTCTGTTAACTATTATTTTCATTGCTGTTATTTATTTTAAAATGCGGGATCCCTGGGTGGCGCAGCGGTTTGGCGCCTGCCTTTGGCCCAGGGCACGATCCTGGAGACCCGGGATCGAGTCCCACGTCGGGCTACCGGTGCATGGAGCCTGCTTCTCCCTCTGCCTGTGTCTCTGCCTCCCTCTCTCTCTCTCTCTGTGACTATCATAAATAAATAAAAAAATAAAAAAATAAAAAAAAATGCTGTAACCTGGGGCACCTGGGTGGCTCAGTCAGTTGAGCAACCAACTCTTGGTTTCAGCTCAGGTCATGATCTCAGGGTGGAAGGATCAAGTCTGTGTCAAGTTGCAAGCTCAGTGGGGAGTCTGCTTGAGATTCTCTCTCTCCCTTCCCTTCTACCACTACCAATGCCCTGCTGGCTCACTTTCACTCTCTCTTAAATAAATAAATAAATAAATAAATAAATAAATAAATAAATAAATGTAAATCTGTTAAAAAATAAAATTAAATGCTATAACCTCATATTATATTTTCTTTTTCACTCAAGAGTTTTTTAACCAAAGATTTACTTTCCAAGTGAAGGAGATTTTTTGTTCTTAGGTTTTGTTAAGAATTTTTAGATTTATTGGATAGAAATCAGAGAGCGCTTGTGCAGCATTTTTCAATTCAAACATTTACTAATTTTGGAGTACCTAGGTAGCTCAGTGGTTGAGTGTCTGCCCTTGGCTCAGGTCACAATCCCAGGGTCCTGGGATCTAGTCCTACACCAGGGTCCATACAGGGAGCCTGCTTCTTCCTCTGCCTATGTCTAAACCTCTCTCTCCCTGTCTTTCACGAATAAATAAATAAAATATTTTTTAATTACTGATTTTTTTCTTTATGACTTAGTATATGATTAATTTTTGTCTATTTTCTGTGGAAGCTTGAGAAAGCTTATTCTCTATTATCAGTATAGAGGTGGATATATATCATAAAAGATACCTTTTATTAATTATAATGCTTAGGTGTTTTCTCTGCTTACTTACTTTTTTCTACTTGATTCTGCTTTGTGACAGTGGTATATTAAAGCATTCCATTACTAGTGTGTTTCTATCATCTCCTTGATAGGTAGATAATATAGATAGAGATAAAGATAGAGATGAAGATAAGTATTCTTCATAAAAATAGTTTCGGTGTTTCCTTTTTTTTAAAGATTTTATTTATTTACTCATAAGAGAGAGAGAGAGAGAGAGAGAGAGAGGCAGAGACACAGGCAGAGGGAGAAGCGGGCTCCATGCAGGGAACTCGACGTGGGGCTCGATCCCGGGACTCCAGGATCAGGCCCTGGGGTGAAGGTGGTGCCAAACCGCTGAGCCACCTGGACTCCGGTGTTTTGGTGTTTTGGATATGAAAATAAAAAATACTCGCAAGTGTAATATATCTCTTATTCAGCATCAGTTTTGGAGTGAAAGATTGGGGTTCAAGTACCAAGGCTTCTGCCATTTTCTTAAGTTACACATAAGAATGTAGTATTAATACTTAAGAGAATTTTTCAGTGAAGACACCTGAGCCTAGAGTTTTCTTTTTGGAAAGGTGTTTTTATTTTTTTTTTATTTTTATTTTTATTTTTATAAATTAATTTTTATTGGTGTTCAATTTACCAACATACAGAATAACACCCAGTGCTCATCCCGTCAAGTGTCCCCCTCCGTGCCCGTCACCCATTCACCCCCACCCCCCGCCCTCCTCCCCTTCCACCACCCCTAGTTCATTTCCCAGAGTTAGAAGTCTTTATGTTCTGTGTCCTGGAAAGGTGTTTTTAATTAATTCCTTTCTTTTATTAGATATAGTGCTATTCAGATTGCAATCAGTTATGGTAGTTTATGTATTTAAGGGAAATTTTCCATGTCATCTGTATTGTGGAATCTATTGGCATAACATCCTTCATAATATTGACTTATCCTTTTTAGTGCTTATGTCTTAAAAGATATTCTTTTATTCTTCTTATTGGTAATTTATATTCCCTCTCTTATGTTCTCAACCAATCTGTCTGGAATTTATCAATTTGATTGATTTTTCAAAATACCAACTTGGGTATTATTCATTTTCTTTTTTTTTAAAGTTTTTTTTAAATTTCAGTTAGTTAACATACAGCATACTATTAGTTTCAGGTGTACAATAAGTGATTCAGCACTTCCATACAACAGTGGGTGATCATCATAAGTGTGCTCCTTAATCTCTAGCACCTACTTCACCCATCTCCCCAATCTCCTCCCCTCTGAAAACCATAAGTTTGTTCTCTGAAGTTAAAGAATCTGTTTCTTGGTTTGCCTCTCTCTCTTTTTTTTCTCTTTACTCCTTTGTTTGGTTTCTTAAATTCAACATATGAGTGAAATCACATGAAACTACCTTATGATCCAGCAATTATGCTACTGGATATTTACCCAAAGAACACAGAAATATTAATTGAAAGAGATACATGTGCTCCTGTGTTATTTACAGTATCCACTTTATGGAAACAGCTCATGTCTATCAACTGATGAATGGATAAAGAAGATGTAGTATATATGTACAATGGAATACTACTTAGCCATGAAAAAATAATGAAATCTTGCCATTTGCAGTGACCTGGTTGGAGCTAGAGAGGGTTATGGTAAGTGAAATAAGTCAATCAGAGAAAGACAAATACCATATTATTAATTTTCTTTATAGTCCATTCATTTTCTATTAAGTTTAATATACTCCCATCTTTCTTTTTCTTTCATTCTTCTTACTTTATATTTAATCTTCCTTCATTTCTAGCTTTTTAAAGGAGATTAGAGCATTAATTTTTAACATGTTTTTTTTCTAACAAATATTTGAAGTTATGAATATCTTTCTAATCACTTCTTCAGGGTTAGGTCATACACTTGGTATGTTTGGGATGTTGACTACTTTATTAATCAATTCAAAATATCTTCTAACTTTCCATGTGATTTCTTTTTTCATCTGTATATTATTTAACGAGAGCTGTTTCCTGATCCAGGAAGACTGTGTTTTTAAGTGCCTGGGACTCTTCTGCCCCTTCCAAGAGACCTCTTGGCAGTGAAGGAGGTAAGTGGGGATTCTCACCATGCCCCTATTCCACCAAAAGGCACACAGCAGATGGACTGGCAAAGGTTCTTCTACCCTTTCAGGTAGTAATGGCAGGGGCCAATGGGACAAGTCAGTGGTGCAAGATAAACCAAAGAGACCAAAATAAGACTGCAACAACTCTGAAAATTATGAATCATACACCACAAGACCCATATGCTAAGCCTAAGAAGCAGTGTGACCACTTCATTTTATAAAAGCATTTTTAATAGGATCAAGATGCTTTTAATACAAAAAATTACCATCATACCCATCATACCAAGAAACAAGAAAAT